TTTTAGGCCTGAATTCTGTCATCTGTGACGTCATTTTTGGAGACTCTCCCATATTTTTTAAGTGAGATTACAAACTCTGCAGGTTCTGAGACTGCTTGTTCCCAGGGTGGAGTTTCAAAAGGCAAATAAGTAATTTTTCGTGGATAAGTCTTCTCTTTTCCATTAGAAATATAGCTAGTCTTCATATTTCTTATCACTTTGTTTTTTAATGTTAATATGGCAGTAAATGTAATGTAATCTTATTTATCCCCCAGAAATGGAAAGCTGATTGACTGTTTCTGATGCATATCAATACTCTTTTTCCCTAGTTGGTTAAAATGTTGACTGCGTAGGTTTTTTTAAATGAGAACAGGCAGCATGAATGTTTAGAGACAGTGGAATAAAGATGATTGCAGTTGAAATTGGTAGAATTATTGTTAACATAATGGGTATTAAGATCATCACTTAACTACAAGAATCATGCTCTTTACTTTTATTGCAGGCTAAAGTGTTTTTGGGATAGTAATGGTGGAAAAACGTAAACTTGCACTGCAGCTAACCACCTAGAAGTAATTTTATATGTGTGAAAAATTATGGTTTGGCAAGTGGAAAGACATGTATTGACTGTTCTGAAACAGAATTTTGTCTCAGTTCCAATGTATCTGTCTGGGTCTAAACTGTCCCATATGTGAAGTTTTTCTCCATGACTGCTTTTCCCATAGTTTAACAATGAACTTGAGGCCAGGTTTTGTTTCTCATGAGCTCTGCATTCACTCTGTGTGGTTTTAACTTTCTTGTATTCATGTCCTGAGGACTTGTGATCCTGGGACCTCCCAGAGCGTCTGAACTGCCGGAATCCAATTGATTGCATGCATAAAAATAATTTATCCACGTTGTTTCTGTTCATCTGGAAATGTTATGCAATAGTACTTGATAAATTGCAAACTGTAAATATTTCCATTTCCAAAGATGTAAGATCTACTGAACCCACTCACCTTTATTTGCCCGATGCTTTTCCCACTTGAAGGTACAAGGGATGTCCTTCATTGCTGCTGTGCTCATTCTCAATCTGGAAGAGGCAGATGCTTTCATTGCCTTTGCTAACCTTCTAAACAAGCCATGCCAGCTGGCCTTTTTCCGTGTGGATCACAGCATGGTATGCACAGAGTTTTCTGGTTTTGGACATTAACGTTCTTTTACTTGAAGCATAGTTGTTTTATTGATGACTTTCTTTTGTCCTATTGAATAATGGAGAACTTTAACCTGTGATTACAAAACTGAGAATACCAGCTACTAATCCATAGAACTCATTCTCATGTTTTGATTTCTCCTCTAGAAACATTTAATCATTTTACTTAGCCTAAGGAGTCACATTGTGCTGTCTTGACATCAGTTCTTGGTGGGGTTTGTGTTGGTTTACAACCAAACATTCTTTTGATGACTGCTTATGATGTGCTTTACTATCCCTACAGATGCTGAAATACTTTGCAGCCTTTGAAGTATTTTTTGAAGAAAATCTTCCTAAATTGTTTCTTCATTTCAAATCATACAGTCTTACTCCAGACATATATTTGATAGACTGGTGAGTTCATAGAACATAGAAAAACTAACCTTAGAACTGTTGGAACACTTTCTACTTTGCTATAGGTCTTTCAACACTGGAAGTAAAGCATAAAAAAGGCATTCAGTAGGTCTTGAGAAATCATGATGAACTGTTGTGTGTAACTGCAGTTCCTCTGGCAGGCTTCAAGCTTTATTAAAAGGGATGTATTCAGTTAAAAAGAGAGACAGACAAACAGGAGTGCTCTGTGTGTGTTCATTTTCTTGTTGCTGCAGTTACATGACATAAGTAGGGGAGAGGAGGCTACTACACCATAGTAGTATGGTGTACTGTGATTGTAAGTGACTTGATGAAATGAGCAAAGTCAGCTACTGAAGGAAGCATGACTGTAGGATTAGAGACTTTAAAGCAGAGGGAGGATGCAATTTAAGACCTGATTTGAAAAGGGATAAATTTGAAAATGCAGTGAACAATTTGAAGTAAGGAATGGTCTAAAGCAGAGAGTAGCAAGCTCTGTGTGTGTCTGCAATGGAAGGCAGTAGTGCAGGCACCTTGAAGTGTGGTAGTGCTGTCAAAAACAGAATATCTGTTTGCATGCATAAGGATGAGCTTCATCTATTATTATTATTGTTTAGATTTTTTTGATTTTAACGTGAAAAATTCAAAAATGCATCACAGAAATGTAGCTATTGATTTATCATTAGTACATTAGTGGGATGTAGCCCTCTATTGAGATTAGTTGTGGCTTTAGATTTAGTTTAGGAAACAAATGATGAACAGAGCTGTTAAACTGTATGGCTTAAATGGGAAAGGTTGAGTCACACAGTTGTGATCTTTGTTGCTTAAGTTCTTATGTGTGTATCACACTCTTGAGTATGAAGAGATTTGTCACTTTTCTAGCCAGAGCTTTCTAAAGGAGATGGCATTCAAATGGAGGATTTCCTGTGACATCAAAAGAGGTGGGTTTCAGAGTACAAGTTCTGACTTCAAGAACTGGAGACTTGTGGATCATTGAAATAGGGGAAAAAAAATTGTGTAAAATAACTCGTCATCTGCTTCCTCTGAACTAATGTAACTGAGGTTTAAAGGAAGTTGTCTTTTCATTTTTCTGAAATAAGTTATAACTCTTCCTTTTTGTTTGTTTTTGACTCCTTTGTAGGATTTTTACACTCTACAGCAAGTCATTACCACTTGATCTGGCCTGTCGTGTCTGGGATGTTTTCTGTAGAGATGGAGAAGAATTTTTGTTTAGGACAGGATTAGGAATCCTTCGGTTATATGAAGATATTCTCCTACAGATGGACTTTATTCATATAGCACAGTTTCTAACAAAACTTCCAGAAGATATTACATCAGAAAAGCTTTTTAGTTGTATTGCAGCTATTCAGATGCAGAATAGTAACAAAAAATGGGCACAGGTGAGTTTCTTGGAAATATATCAAATCTGACATGTCAGCACATGAATATATGGGGCATTTCTCTTCATGGTTATTTAAGCTGCTTGTCTGACTCCTGAGCAATGGGCACTGCCTTTCTAGTGTCTCAGTCTAGAAATTGATCTCCATGCTAATATTGTGGCAGTTGATATTATTGTAACACTGGCAGTCTTCATTAAATGATTTACTTTTCCAGGTGTTTGCCTCACTGATGAAGGACAACAAAGAAGGGGACAAGAACCATAGCCCAGCACCGAAAAGCTAATGTTGAGTGAGGTCCATTGGAAACGTGGAAAACCACTTGATGACAAGAGAAGACTTCACATCACTTCTATGTGGAAAAAGCACTATAGAAAATGTGAAAATGAGATGGAGAAAAGACACAGCTCTCAGTGGAGTAATGAACTGATGAAATCTTCACCCTTTTGCCAGTATTAGTTTTTGCCATGGGAAGATCTGATTTCACACAGGATACTAAAACCTATGAAACTGAGAAGCGGGGAGTTCGTATTTAATACTTTAAAAGAATCAGCTCAATGCAATAAACATTTGTAATAACTTCTGTTGGTACTTTAAACAAATTTTTGAGGCATAACTGTTTTTAAAAATACCACAAAGGCACTTTTTGGAGGGGATGAGGGAAATGCTAAATCTTAAGGCCCCAAAACTGCTATCCAAACCAAATGCTTTGGTACAAACATTACCTCCAAAATTAACAATTTGCAAGTATTGAGGACCAAATAAAGTGGTTTGGTATGTTTATGTGCAAGGTGGTTAAGATTTGGGAAAGGGGTATTTTCTTATTTACTTGTTTGGTGTATTTTTTAAGTTGCAGCTTCATTCTTCAGTCTGGGCAAATGTAATTAACTCAGGAACTGTAGACATATTGTGCCCAAACCTAGAGCAACAATAATCTGAATTTTAAACAGTGGTAAGAACAGGGCTGCTATTTTCACTGTACAGCTTTCAAAGCAAGTGGTGTTTAAGCATTTGTTTTGGTGTATTGATTGTGGAGTAGATGGAGTGGGTATTCTGTGGAAGGGTTTTGCCACCAGAAGTTTTATATTGTTGAGCCATTTCCAACTAAAAAATACTTGTATGTGTAATGGTGAACACTAGAAAATGACAAGGCTATCTAAAGGCTTTTGTGTTCTCAAAGAAGCAGCCACTTTTAACACTTGGAAATAATGCAGACACAGAATTGTTTTTGAAACTGTCTTTTTATTAGTGTGCAATACTGAAATCCAAAAAGCATCTGTCAAGTGATAATTCTCTACCATCTTTTAACTGTGAGACATAAGGTCATGCTGTATGTGTCACGGCAAATATTTTCAAACATTTCCTGTTCTTGAAGATGCTGTACAACAACCTGTGGTTGTAGGGGACAGAAATTTAAAATGGATAGCACTGCAGGTGAGGAGCACTTGCACTCTCTTGATCCATTTTTTGCTAATATTTAATGTAAATAAATTCCTTACATGTGGGTTTTTGTAACTGGTCCCTCTGGAAATCAAGTAAAAACTACCATTATGTATTTTTAAGTGCAGGAGGCTTCCAGTTGTCTGGTGTTTTAAAAGCAGAGTCTGCATAATCGGGGTAAAGATTTAGTGTGGTGTAACTTGCGTTGCTATCTGGTTTAAAATCTACATATATGCTACTCATAACATTACAATTTGAAATGTAAATGTCCGATTTTTCTTAACTTATGTATTCACTACTTTAATTGGATCCAATTTGTCTTATATTTTTGTGTTATCTTGTACAGTTTTCTTACTTTTCAACTATAAATCTGTATATAACTGTAAATAGAAGGATCAAGCCTTCCTTTAAGACCACTAGTACCGATTCCCGTGTAAATAAAACTTACAGCAGCTGCGGGCCGTGCTTCTTTCCCGTTCCGCGGGCCGTGCTTCTTTCCCGTTCCGCGGGCCTGCCGCCGGCCCGGCCGCTCCCTGTGGGCGGCGCTCGGCACGGGCGGCGCCTTCGGCCTCCGCCGCCAGGGGCCGCTGTGGCCGCGCCGCGCGGGAGCGCTTCCGCCGCCGGGCAGCACGCGCGGCCGCCGCCATGAAGCCGGTAGGGGCCGTGAGGGGAGCGGGCGGCGCGGGGAGCGGGGCCCGGGGCTCACGGGCGGACGGGCGGGACGGGGAGCAGTGGTCGCAGCGGCCGGTGCCGCCGGGGCTCCGGGAACTGCAGGGCGGTGCGGGTGCTTTAGGTGGGCACCGGCGGCGCAGCGCAGGCTCGTTTTTCAGCCTGAAACGACCGCTGACCTTTCAGCGCCCTGCCGGTATCCAGCATAGAAAGGGAAGCTTAGGTTGAGCTGACAAAAGTTCCGGGTTCACAGATTCACGGCATGTTCTCAGCTGGAAGGGGCCCGCGAGGACCGCGGAGCCCAGCTCCGACCGGCCCGTACGGGGGTGATCCCACAGGCGTGCGGTTAGCACCGTGCTCCAGCCGCGAGCTCAGGGTTCGGGGAACCGCACCCTGATCCAGCCACTGGTCCCTTTGTAAGGGACGCGTCATCCCTAACGGCGCCTCCGTGCCAGTTCCTCTGCACGGCCTTGCCTTCCCATGCCCCTCGTGAGGTGACGCCTGCCGTGCCCATTCCCATCCCAGCCCCTTGGGAGTGTTTTCTGGGTTTGGCTCTGGCCGCGTGTATTGACCCGAGCCTCCAAGTTTTCCCCGAGCCCGGTTTCTGAGCCGGGTGCCTCCCCGAGCTCTGGCCCCCGTAACTGTTCTGGTACAGCTGCTGTTGTGAGCAGGCAGCCTCGCCAGGTCCCTGCAGCTGCTGGGCAGGGAGAGTTTCAGGCAGGAGAAAGCCAGAGCTCGGCTTGGGGAGGTGTCCTGCAGGAGGACGTTTGCCCCAGGCTGTGGCCTTGGACGTTAAAGTCCCCCGAGGTACTTTAGCGTGTGCTGGGGAACAGCAGCACCCTGAGAAGAGAACAGAGTGCTTGGGAGCACACAAGGAACTGTGCCCTAACAAGCTGTGTACCGTATCTTGCATGTTTAAAAGTGATGGACATAGGTTTTAATAAAAAAGTTGTCAGAGAATGTTTCTGTAAAACATTTGTCACAGTGCTCTCTTCTCAGATATGTAACACGGTTGTGTAAATCTGAGGCTAATTGATGATACTGTTAGCAAGGAACATATTGTTCAGTCCTAATACAAATAGGAACTCAGAGATCTTAAACAGTGGAATAAATTTTGCAAAGACTGTTAACATGTCAGTGACTTGTAGCTTTCTGTTTGTTTTCTAGAGAAAAAACACAAAGCGAGTTCCAAGTTTTCGCAAGTTACTGAGAACTAGTCAAATAAAACTTGACAATAAATTAAAGAATAAACAGTTCAAGCAGAAGAGTGCTGCTAAGAAGTATCGTAAAGAACAAAAGAAGCTAAGGGAGGCTGTCAGAGATGCTATTTCTAGAAAGCCTTTTCCCTTGGAGGAATGCAAGAAGAAACAAGTTGGTAAGTGTTTGCTCAAGTGTGGAGGTTACTGAATATCATGCTGCTTCCTGTTGTAAAAATGGGGAAAACAACATTTCATTTTCTGTATACAAATAGTTGCTGTTCCTGTTGAAAGAACGGGAGACTTTTGAAAAATACAAAATGTGGCCATTCTGGCACCTAAAACTGTTAGTTAAAGATGGTAGAAATGTGTTTGCACTGATCATTATTGGATGTCATAGTAAAGGGGCAGTTTTCTGGGATAACAAAACCCACATGCATAAAGGTCAGTAGCTCCAGGTAGAAGCAAGGCATAAAATGGTCCCAAAAGTGTAGGCAGGGTTAGGTTTTCAAGGGTGACTGTACATGTGGGATCTTAATCTGTAAACATCATCTTCTAAAATAGCTAAAAAATGGGAAGAAAAAGAAGAGGAAGATGCTCTTCCACTGGACATGATGGATGAAGATGACTTAAAATTAATGGAGGATCTGGCCCAAAAAGCATCCTTTTTAACCAGAGATCTTTCTTCTAAGTGAGTTGCAATGTCTCCTTTTCATACTAATTCAGTCTTGTCTGGTTAATATGTAATTAATGTGTAAAGTAATGCATTTATCAGGAGGTCTCTTTCAGTCTGGTGTTTCTTTGCAGCTCTGGTTTAATGTTTCCTCAGCCTGGCAGTACTTCAGTGTTAATGTGTCTCAATGGGTATCAGTGCATTCAGGTGCTCTCTGTTACCTTCAGGGTACTGTCTCTGCAGTGTTCCTTCCTGGGAGGTCCCTGGCTGTGAGATGAGTAGCATCCCTCAAACAAAATAAATGCTTTAACCTGTAAACAAAGTCTTTTTTTTCTATATAGAGTGTTCAGGACATTCTCTGGACTATAGACCCCTATACATATTGCACTGCAAATTGCCAGAAAAAAATAAAAAGGGTTCTGTAAGCCATGTCTGTAAACACATGCAACACCAAAACATTCATACAAAAAATTTGTCACCAGTTTTGTGGACCAAGGCATTGTGTGGAGTTCACAGTGACCTATGTAGAAAGGTAGTGCTCCTAGTTGTAGAATAGTGTTTATAAATACACTTCTACAGAGCTGTCTGGTTACATGATTTTTTTAAAAACTTAGCTTGCCTTTTTTGATGGATGTGAAAAGACTCTCCATGCTGGTGTAGGGTGGTTTTAATTTGTTAATGCTGATTCTGCTTAGTAATTAATAATTTAGTCTAGTTTTGAAGGAAATGGCTTTTATGTACAGAGTTGCAGTTGTGCTGCATGGTCTCTTGTAGCCACACTGCAAGTTCTTGAATTAGAAGAATTTTGTTTTTAAACCTTCCCCTCTATCCTAATTAACTGGGTGTGATATAGGTTTAAAGTCTTGCAAAACTCAAAATTTATTGTGTGGTTTTATTTAGAGATATTTTGCAAAATGTAGTTCTATGTGTCTTACATGCATTATGCCAGAATGTTGTTAGATTGGTAGGAAAACAGTGGAAGTGGTTGCTCTTTTACCTGATTTACTGTTATGGGCTTTTAGTTCCCTTCATAGTGTTCCCTTAAATTGGAGAACTTACCTTTTCAATCTGCTTTACTCTGGTCAGCTACAATCTGTCTTAAAAACTTGTCAGATATTACACCACTCAAAAATTGTGTGCTTGTATTAGCACAGACTAAATACTTACCCTCGTGTACATTTATGTGCAGCTCAGGAGCATACCTGTGAAGGGGTGCCACGCCACGCTGGGTTATTGCTGCTGTCACTGGAGAGGGGTGACACAGGCATTGCCAGTGGGCAGAGCAGAAAAGTGATAGTGATAAAAATAGCCGTGGAGGAGGGTAGATAAAATGGTCGCTGACCCACTCATTGTCATATCCTGGTTAAACCCCACCTGGAAGGACACAGTTAAGGAGGCTCTGGGCTGTTGCCAGTGAGGGATCCTGCTGCTGCTGGAGTGGAGTCCTTCATGACAGGACTGCTTGGGGTGGTTAAACGCGTCTCAGCCCCGCCAGGGCAGCCGCTCTGCTGTGGGGGAGCACGGGGGGAAGGAAGGACAAGTGAAACAGCACCCTGGCCTGGGTGAGAGGCAGCCACTGAATCCAGCTGCTCAGGGATGGCTCTTGTCTAATTACGTGGCTGCTTGATTTAGTTTGCCTCGTATGTTTCAGTGAACCAGCTCACATAAAAAAACGAAAACATGAAAGTGTGATTGAGAAATATGAGAAGGTGCCAAGACGTTTGCAAACAGAGCCCGAAAAAGAACTCATCCATCTGCTCCCCATCAAAGACAAGAGAGGCATAATTCCTCAAGCTGTGGAAAAGCCAGGTAAGACGCAGATTCTGGAACTGGTATAGTAGCCAAGAAGTATATAATTTATTTGTTTAAAATTTCACAGTGTTTATTTTGTGCTTGACGCTAGATACTCTGTTTTTGCAGTTCTCAATGTTGCACATGATGAAGAAGAGGACACAGAAGATATGGAGGAAGCAGAGGGTAATAAAACTTATTGGTTTTTTTTTTTTTTTCCAAATCACTTACATACTGAAAAGTATTTTGCTGTACCCCAAGGAAGTTTGCAATTGAAGTGTATTTTGTTCAGGATGTTTTTGAATATGTTCATTACCATGTTGCCACTAAAGCATAATAATCATTATTCAAAGCTTGCACTCTTACCTATTAGAATCTCAGGAATGGCTGGTTTAAGGTTCTCTTTCTTCAGAATTATTTTGATTTTTTGCCTTGAACTGCTGCTTGCATGAAGTTCCTTTTATCCTTTGTGTCATAGTTGCTAGTAAGAAGGAAATATTAGTCTTACATAAAGAATATCTGTGTGGTTCTATTTTGACTACTTTGAGATCATTTTGAAATGCAGTTCAGGACACAGACTTTTGTAGGCTTTAAGTGTCTGTCTTTGTCTTTAAAATTTTTTACTTAAAACACCAATACCAGGAAACTGTGATGAGTTATGGTCATTTTCTAGTAACTTTGTGACTTCTGGGTCCTTACTGTCTAAATATAATCTGAAGTTGAGGAAGGAGATACTTGTAGCAAAATAATACTCAGAAAACACAAACAAAAACTGTTGTATTTTTAAGAGAAAAAGTGAATGGTGAATAATTCAATACAAATTGCAAAGCACTGCACTTTCTTGGTGTGGTTGGGGTAATACATTGAGTTTATATGTTCCCACTGTACTCAGAACACTATGAGCAGATTCAAAAACATTTAGTCCACTTATTTTTTGCAAGCAAAAGATTTTGAAATGGAGCAAAAATGAGTCTGTATATATTATATATAAGATCTAGCAAAGTCATTCTTAAAGCTTTCTGGACTGTAGAACTTCTTGTGTTAGTCTCTCTTCTTGTGTGGCCTTCCCAGGATACCTGTTTGAAATGCAGTATCTGCAACATGGTATTTGTTAAGTGACTTCCCCTCTTTTCTGACTCTTCACATCTGTGCCAGACTTTAATGAGGAAGCCCTGCCTGTTCTCACTCCTGAGGAAATGGCTGCTCAAAGGAGACAAAAGCTACAGGAGAGGAAGATGCACATAGCTGCCTTAGCATCTGCCATTCTCTCAGAGCCAGACAGCAATGTAGGTACATTTACTTAACCTGCATGTACAAGTGTGTGTGTTGTTCACTAATTCAAGAAGCAAAGATCTGGATGAGCAAACAGTAGCAAAACCCCAAGAATATATGAGTAGAACAAGGAAAAGGTCAGTGTTGTATCACTTTTGTTATTTTTCTTGTTCCTTAAGCATGACCCTTATGTAAGCTCTGATGTCAGGGTTGTATATGATAGTTCTCAATACTTCAGGATATACTAGAAGTTTTCCTGTAATTCTGTGCAAGTTTGTAATAGCAGGATATTTTGAACATTCCTGAGACTAAATTTTTGTTGAGTTATCTATAATTTCCTGGCTCTTTATGCAGTGCTGAGTCTGAGTAACTGCTGAGTTAACGTACCTTGTGCTTGTCCCTTGGTTTGCAGTTAATTTTCATCTGATGTCTGCCTGTTCTCTTCAATCAGATGAAGAAGTTGAAGGAGCTGCGTGCCATGCTGATGGAGCAGGATCCTAACGTGGCTGTGATTGTTAGGAAGCTGGTCATGGTGTCTTTGATGGAGATATTCAAAGATATTGCACCTTCGTACAAAATTCGGCCTCTGACCGAAGCAGAAAAGGCTACCAAGGTGAACTATCAAACTTATTTATAGTGAATGTGAGTGGTTAAGAATGTTTTCAGCTATGCCAGATACTAAGACTGATTTGTTTAATATGATTTCGTGGTTTTGAGCAAAGGGGGCAAATGCACAAATACTTGTGGAAGCTCTAAAGCTGTGACACTTTCAGAAAGAGAGGATTAGCACTAAATTCTTACATACTTCCTTCAATAAGTAGGTGACATGCAGGTGGTAATGGAGGGGAAAAGTAGTGTCTGAAAGTGGTATACCAAACCTGGGTGACTTTCCTCATGAGCCTTGGAATAAGGACCTGCACTAAAGAGAGTTAGAAAGCAAATTATGCAGTATTGTCACCTAACTGGCATAGATTTCTTTGTAACGTGTTCAAAAATTTGCTGAACAAATGCAGAGTAACTTGCTTTCTGGAGCTTGTTTTTAACCAATTTTTAGAAGGTTTTTTGGATATAGTTTTAGTGCAGTTTGGAGTCATGGTTTTAAAATAGCATCTAGTTGATAATGGTACTTCAAGCTCTATAAATGAAATAGGCCTCGTTGGAAAAAGCCCTCTGAACACATCTGTGGAAAAATGCAGATATGTTTTATTTTTAATACATTTCTAGGAATGTCTGTCTAGAAGAAAAATCTACTTAGATATCTGATATTTGTTTTTAAATATCAATTTTTTTTTCACCACCATTGGCTAATTTCCGTATTTAGCTCTCCAAATAAAATCTCATTTCAATTATGTTTACAGGTTAAAAAAGAAACACAGAAACTGAGAGAATTTGAAGAAGGCCTTGTAAGCCAGTATAAATTTTACTTGGAAAATCTGGAACAAACAATTAAAGGTACAGTTAACACTTCTCACTTTTCACAGTAAAGGCAAAATTGTTTGCAGCAGTTTCCCTCCTCTGAATGAATGGTACCTTCTGTCTTTGAGATAGCACTTGCACATGCAGTCACTAAAAATTTAAATATTTACAAGATCATCATCATTCTGAAGAGTAATCACTAAAAATAATTTTTTTTGCAGATTGGAAGCAAAGGAAATTGAAGAAAAGCAATGTTATCTCATTAAAGGCATATAAAGGTCTAGCAGAGGTAGCAGTGAAGTGCCTGTGTGAGCTGCTTGTAACCCTACCCCACTTCAACTTCCACAATAACATTATTGTTCTCATTGTTCCACTCATGAATGATCCATCAAAAATGGTAAGTGATTTTCTGATTAGAGAAACAGTTCTTGTTTTGTGTGAAAAATAATTATTTCTGAGCTTTAGTCCACAATATCCAGATCTTTCGGCCATATGTGTTCACTATTTTACAGGCTGTGTGCACTTTGTAATTAGTAAATACCATGGGTACTGTCTGTTACTGGCTGTTGTTATTGATTTGGCTTTACAGAACAATTTCTGTGTTTTGCTTTTCAGATTTCTGAACTGTGTGTTGAGGCTGTTAAGAAGCTCTTTAAACAGGACAAGTTGGGCTATGCTTCACTTGGTGTAGTTAAAGTAATTTCTGGCCTTGTGAGGGGTAGAAATTATGATGTCAGACCTGAGGTAAGAGCCTTTCTGTTATACCTCACAATATTCTTCTGTCAAAAGTTTCAAAAATCCCCAAATGTTAAAGTTACTGCAGCTGCTGGCTAGAGACAAGCAGAATTTCCTCACTCTGGCAGACCATAGACAGTTCAGGATTAGGCTGAGGCAGAGAATTAGAGAGGTGTGGGGCAAGGGAAGGAGACTGGGAGGCAGAGATCAGATGTGCCAGAGACATGGCTTAAGTCAGGCAGGGAGAGGCAAATGGTGGAATGGATAGAAATGGACAGTACTGGGGAAGGAGCTGGGAGCAGGGATCAAGAGATACAGGTGTGAAGGAACAGGAGGGGAGTAAACAGAAGAACCTTTGACCAGCAAAGCCCACTAGATGGAGTGGAATTCAGAATTTCTTACCCTAGTTCCTATCAAGTTGTAGATGACCTTTCATTGTATTTATTTTATTTTACAATAGGTGTTAAAAGTATTTCTTCACTTAAGAATTAAGGAAGTAGAATTACAAAAAGATTCTGAAGACATTGCACCAAAGAAAAGGTTCATGACTTACAAAGAGAAAAGAAAAAATCTTTCCAGAATGCAAAGAAAGGTACGACATGTGCTTTCTCATGCTCTACTTCTGTTACTTAGTGTAGCAATTTGTTCTAGCAGTGATTGCACAGCTGCTGTTGCCATTGTTAACTCTCACATCTGTGATCAATTTTTGCATGGTACTTGAAAATTTATTAGGTTCTAGAGGGAATTTAATTATCTCCCTATTTTTTCCTGTTTCCTGTGTTGATAATGTTTTTGATTGGTTGTTTCTGATAGGACAAGGGTTACCCTGTAGAATCGCAGGGTGGCTTAAGCAACTCACCAAGCATAGAAAATTTATTCTCTGGGTATCTTTTCTACCTGGATATCCAGACTGGTTGGAAACATTGGATCTGTTGTCTTAAAATCAACTGTATATTTTCAGTGGAGGAAAGCAGAAGAGAAACTGGAACGAGAACTCCTGGAAGCTGAAGCATCAGAAAGTAAAGAAAAGAAACTGAAGCTGGTAAATAATTGAGACATTATTTCCCTGTTTTAGCAGAGTGGCAGCTCCTAACCCTTTTGTAACTAAGTGTCTTCCCTCCATCCCAACCTGGCAGCATTCCACTTCTCTAGATCTTTGCCTGTGACAGATCTAGGTTTTAGTAAACCACACTCTCAGTTTAGCCTGGAAGGCCAGTGTAGCCATTCCTATTCCCATTGTGCTGGTCTGCTCAAAGTGGTATTGAATCCATTGACAAAAGTGCTCCAGATGCCTGTTCCACAGGACACTGTGTAGTGGGGTACAGCCTCTCAGAGTGGCCTTTAGGCAAAGGAGGGGTGTGGCTGTAGGCAGGAGAGAGCCAGGAGCAGGAGAGCACTGGAGGACTTGAGCTTTTCAGTGTAAGAAGAGCAGAAATGGCAGTGCCAGGACTGGTTGGGAAGGCCTGAGTGCAGGCTTGGACAGAGAAAACCATTTCAGCTGAGTTTAAGTGAAATAGAAATGTTTATTTCACGTGATTAAGTATTTTTGTTTTCTTTCCTTCAGCACACAGAGACCTTGAATATTGTATTTGTAACTTACTTCAGGATCTTGAAGAAAGCTCAGAAGTCTCCACTTTTGCCAGCTGTGCTAGAAGGTCTTGCAAAGTAAGAACAGACTACCTTCTCTTGTGTGTGTTGGAAAAGATATAAAGCACTAAAGAAATTCTTGTCTCTGAAAGGGATTTAAGCAGTGAGAAAAGATAGTCCCTGATAAATTAGTTGAAATTCATTTATTTCTCTGCTGAAGTTTTCTGCTATTTCCAAAACCATTTCACGTGTGATTTGAAATTCCACGAGATAGAATTGATGTGGTGCAAACGCCTCAGGGTGTGATTCCATTCTTTTGTCTGATTAGTTGCTAAAGGACACAAGCATGTCTTTAATGCTCTAGAAAAGCCATGTATAGTATGTTGGGGGCTGAATTATTCTTTCCTGTGAAGATAGTAAATGTTCAGCATTTGATTTAGCCTGCTTTTAAGGTGTGGATCTTGGCAATTCAGAACGCTTTGAACTGAGTTTACAGATAATGTCTATAATTTAAATTGCAGGTTTGCTCATCTCATAAATGTGGAATTTTTTGATGACCTATTGATTGTCCTTCATTCTCTTATTGCATCTGGGGTAAGTTGAATTTTATTCCAGTTTTTTTCTTAAAATGACTTTCTTTTGGGTACTTAAATCAGTTTTGTATTCTTAGGATTTAAGCTATCGTGAGAGTCTTCATTGCATTCTCAGTGCTTTTCATATACTCTCTGGTCAAGGTAGGAGATTTTTAAAAACTAACCTTTGTTTAATATTGCCTGGTAAATAAATGGAGTAAATGTGTTTATTTGGGATTATGTTTATAGGTGATGTTCTTAACATTGATCCAATGAAATTTTACACACATCTGTACAAGACACTGTTCAGCCTACATGCAGGTAATTCCAGACTTCTGTTTTCACTGTTCACCTACATAATGATAATGATATTCTGTTTCCTTGCTATCAAAGCCTTTATGTAGCATTAAGAAACTACACTTTTTTAAGATATCTGATTTCTGAGAAGATTGTTGTCTGGTTTAGCCTACTTTTTTTTTCTCGAGTTGCACATTGCATTACTGCAATACAAATACTTGAATTATTATTACAATACATGGTAACGGGTTCTAATTGTGTCATTTCATTAGGAAGTGCCAAATATTTGATCTTGGATAAGTATTTAGTCTGTCCTCAATTTTTTTACTTCCTTATAATTATTTCTTTCAGTTGCAATTTAAAAATTCCTGTCTTTTTTCTCTAATTCTCTCTTCAATAAAGAAAAAAAAACTGATTTTTCAATATAATTCTAAAAATAATTGAAGTTTATATTCTGCTTTAAAAATTTTTCTAGTATATATTTCTGATTTTTATAATGGTAACATTTTTATGATCTATTCTAGATTTTCCAGTAATTCTGAGAAGTTGAAAAATTGATGAAAAAATATTTATAAAATTTGAAATTAGCATCATTTAACTTCAGAAATGTGGATTCACTAGGAATAAACTATTAAGAATAAATATTCTGCTGTTCTGGATGGGTAAAATACTAGATCTTTTCACTTTTTAATAGTTTATGGAAAATGATACAATGAATGCATTTAGGATTAAAACAGTAGCTGAATTCTAATCAGCATTGTTTATAACACTAATAAGCAGTGTTTAATGATTAGATACTTTTGATGGAATAAGTATTTTCTTAGAAAGGAGCACAGAAACAGTGTTACATTTTTTCTGTTCAAAGCTGGACTATTTTACCACAAAAGGGTGGATGTTTAATGTGTGCATCACATGAGAGGGGTCTGAGCCCCCCAGCTTCCACACTGCTCTCAGCTCCAGTGCCAGCCCCTAGCAGGGTACACAATGGCCATGAAGTGATTCTTTACTCTTTGTGTGGAATTCTGCTTTTGAGGTGGCACCAACGAGGACATAGGGATTGTGCTGCAGTGCCTGGATGTCATGTTTGCCAAGAGGAGAAAGCAAGTGTCCCAGCAACGAGCTCTTGCTTTCCTAAAGCGACTTTCCATCCTTGCTCTTCATGTACTTCCAAATTCCAGTGTTGGCATCTTGGCAACAAACAGGGTATTCATGCAAGTAAGTTTTACTTGTTCAGATTTTTAGCTTACTGGCTGTAAGTTACGGAATTTTTTTTTTGTTAAAATGATTTTGTGCAAATTTTTTAAGGCATCTTTAACAAGAATGATGAAAACAGAATATGTTTAAATGGTGCTGAAACTGACTGAAGTGGAATGAATCCTGAAACTGACTCAACTGTGTTATAATTGGGTGGGTAGTATAAACAACTCAGTTTCTGTTTTGTTTTTTTTTTTTGTGTTGTAGACATTCCCAAGGATGGACCTCTTACTAGACAATGAATCTCAAGGCAGTGGAGTTTATCTCCCAGAATTAGAGGAACCAGAGCATTGCAATGCCCAGAATACAGCACTGTGGGAGCTGCATCTACTGCAGGTTTGTGAGTCACTCAGGGATTTGGGAAGTAACAGCAGTAAGTAGCTGCTCAATGTTTAGGTGCTTTGCATAAATGGAGAGCAAAGGTCTTCAGGCTTATCTGTTAGATCTTGGCCCATATGAGCCTATTCCAGCAGAGTGGAGGAAGAAGACCACCACAGTGGTGTGGAAGGATGAGCTCAGAAGGGGATGTTGTACATCCCCTGTTATAATACCACGCTGGTTCCTACTGCAGGTTGCCTTATTACATTCCTTTGGGGACTTTTTAGAACTATAAAGTTCCCTTGCAGTCCAGCCCTTCTTCCAAGAGGAGCTGACACCTTGATCTGTCATTCCAGTCAGGGTTTGGAGGGGGCTTCCTCTGCCCTTGGTCCCTGTTTTCTGGGAGTAGGAATTATCTAACTGTGGAGAGTCATGCTCACAGCATGATATGAGGGAATAAATGCATGACATTAATCCCACAAACTGACTGATTTTGAGGTACTCAGTTTCTAAAATAAAAGCAGACCTTCCATTTTATGAATTGGAAATAAACATGAGATTCTGTAGATGAATACATTATCCCTTACTGTCTGTCTACTGCCTTCATTCTTCCTTTCTTTCAGAGACATTATCATCCAACAGTGCAGAAATTTGCATCTCACCTTATTGCTGGAGCTCCAACTGAAGGCTCAGGAGCTCTTCCACTTGATTTGAGCCAAAGGTGAGTTATCAAAGAGTTCCTTTATTTATAATGGGTCCTGAAAGGAAGCTGTTGCTTATACTATATTAAAGGAATTCCTAAAAATAACAAAAAACTCTGGTCTTCAAACTCTCTTTCTTCTTCTGCCAGTACAGAATGCAGAATGCTGGCTGCCTTTTTTTTGTTTTTTCCCTTTTTTTTCCCTTTTGAGACTTGTTGCCAGGCTGTGACAAGGGTAAACATCTCAAAGTGCAGTGTGTTTTCTTCCTCTGGGAGCAAAATATCTTGAGCAGCAGCCCTGATCTGAATATGGATCAGGATCACTGAACTGGGGCTGTTCAGTGGAAACTAGAACCCAAGTTGCAGTGTAAGGTCTGTACAGGTTAAAACATGAGAACAGCCATCCAGGCTCAGACTGAGATCTAATTCAGCATTATTTATCTAATGCCATTTTTCTTTCACTGTTTATTTACTGTAGGTCTGCTACAGAACTTTTTGAGATGTATTGTATGAAGGGAATGACCTTTAATCCTCCTGTTGCATCAGTAACACCCAGAAGAAAGGTACTGTTCTCATTGCTCTGTGTCTTTTTTTAACCATGTGACACACCAATATAACCTGAATCTGCTGGCTCACTATGCAGTGCCAGCCATTGGCACACTCAGTGTGGCTTTCTGGGTTCTGTACTTTCTGCATCAAGTACATTTTTTAAATTGGGATAAGACAGGACTGAGTATAAGGAAGGAAAAATAGCTCTATAAATAGTCCTACCTCCCACAGCATCAGTTAACACAGCAAGATTAATATGGTAGCTGTTATTTTGCACTTTGCAGTGGTTCATTGCAGATTTCTTGGCTCTCTTCTGTAATGATGAACGAATGTTTGTTCAAAAAGCAATAATAAAAAGCCAGCTCTTTCCCCAGGGTGGGTAGTTGCCAAGACAGCTGGATTTCCAGAGCCTTTGATTCAGTGTGTTGAGGGATGCTTATCCTGTAGTGTCACTGCAGCTTTAAAGTGGAAATTTGTGGGGAACAAAAGGTTAAAGTAAAAAGAGGGGAAATGGGGGAAGTGTGTTTATATCCTCAGTGCTGGATGTGTTCCAGATGCCAGCCTCCATTAAATGTCCAGTTAGTGGTGTGTCCTTTCAAAGGTGATAATTTTCCTTCTTTCTAATGCAAACATTATAACCTATTAACCTTGCCAGTGCTGCACTTTGTAACTCAGTAATGTCAGTTGAAGCCTTGAGAGCACAATTTCTTTTTCAATTTTAGAGAAGCAACTTCTGAAAATGTGTTTGTACTTATTCAGTTGTTTTATAATGACTCCTTGATATGTGTGTCCTGCTGGGGAATTACATGAGTAGCTCTGACAGAGCAAGGCTGAGAACAGCAGATGGGAGAAAACCAAGGAAAAGCACAAGCTCCTTTAGGGAGCAGACACAGTGGATCATGTTGCAAGATGACAAAGTGTGCATAGATGGCTATCTATAATGGACCTAAGTGGGAAAATTACCTTGGGGTCTTTCCTGCTCTATGGCTGTTTGGCTCATTTAACAAATTTTGGCAGTTATCTGAGTTTTACCCTGTGTTCTGCATGTCCTTTGTGTGCCAGGCTGCCAGGCTGTCAGCACCTCCCTGCTCTTGACACAAGCTCTGCACTGGAGCCCTGTGCACCGCTAAAGAGAGGCTCTCATTTCTCCATGAGTGCACAAACTACTTGGCTCTGGAAATGTAAAACTTTCACAGGGAAGTTTAAATCCTGTACGTGATCATCGTTCTTTATTTGAGCACCAGGCAAATGCAGGGCTCCAGGTGTGGCTGGAGGCAGAAGGGTGAGGGCATTCCTTTCTGACTCACCTGTGCTGTGGGCATCGTTGCCTTTTGGTCAGAGGTGCTTATTTGTAAATGTGTGCTGTCACCAAACTGTGCTTGGTTTGTATTTGTAAGGTGTGTTGAACAGGAGGCAGTGTGTGAGCCCCCAGCCCTGAGCTGGAAGCCATGGCTGTGTGCAGTAGGTAATCTTCTGAGGCCCAGCTTGGCACAAACCAGAAAAGCCTCACCAAACCCACGAGCTTGCGAAGGACTGCCTGACACGGTGCCAGTTGAACAGGTCTGGTGTAGATGACTGTGACCACAGGAGAGAAACAAGACTGCTGAACTAAGGTAGGCATGGAAAACAGGGCCTTGTTCAGTAATACAACTCATATTCTGTAATTTTCAGGACACCTTCTCGCCTATGGATTCATTTGTAGATGAAGAACTAAACAAACAGCTTCAACAACACATCAGTGAGACTGCTGCCCACAAACCCTTGGATTTTGCTAAGCACTTGAAGGAATCATCCTTGGCATAAATGTACCCATCAATCAAGTTCACTTGGATTCTTAATTATGGAGAAAAATTGCCTGAAAGAAATCACCAGTCATCATAAAAGGAATACAAGCAGGCTTTTGTGTGACTATAGAAACACAGGAAAATGTAACAGCAGCTTTTCACACAGTTACAGGCCTGTCCCCCTAACCAACAAACCCCTGTTCAGAGGGCTGGGGAATCACAATGAACTGTCATGTCAGTGTTTTAAAAATATACAAACCCAAATAATTTAAGAATTGTTTGCAACCATGCACAACTGTATTTTTCTTTATGTATTTTTCTAATTTTTATAAAAGAATATAGACATACGTGTTTCTGCAAACTCACTGGGTTGTCCTGATAACTTAATAAATATTTTGAAAATGTTAACATAATATTGACCTTTTGATGTCTGAGTTACCTAGACATTTGGACTATGTATTGCATTTATCCTGTTTTTCTTCTGATGTCTTCTAACCATTTATCTCATCTTGAAATTATTTTAAATTTGGTGGTTTTATCCCCTCTGATGAGTCTTGACATTGGCAAATTAAGAATACTGAATTTCAGTTCTAAGCTGTCATCACGATTGAGTGCTCTACTGCAGTGTCTTCAATAAAGCATTGCTGTCAAGAATACTGGACAAATACAAGGTAAGAATGTTTGTTGGTTTTTTTTGTTTTGTTTTTTTTCTGGTAGGTAATTCTGTCCACATTCTCCAAATATTATTATTGTCTGAATGTTTTTGAATCCATTTTGAGCTGCATGTTGACTTTGCAAAGAGCAGGTGAAATACATGAAATAATTTAAAGGTGAGTATTGTCTTTATGTGAATTGCATTGTACAGGGGAATGTAGTGGGCTGTCCCTGGCTGACAGCTAATGCACTTCTGTAGGGCTTAATCTGTGTGTAAGTTTGCAAAGCTTTCCTTTAAGTCAGAAAATATCTTATTTTCTCTAGGGTATTTAGTTCTTTTTCCTGATTTCTGGTTCTTAGATGGTTTTACAATTAATTTATTTCTCTTTTTAAAAGTTTTCAGTATTGATCACACTAGTTCACCAACTTTCAAGTAATTAAACATAAATTTACAAACATTTTAGAACAGACATCTGTATTAAGGGATTAGAAAAGACCTATGTATTATACTATACATATAAAATATGTATAATGTATATACATATGTATGTATATATGTATACATATGTATATACATATGTATATGTATATACATACATAGGTATGTAGTATACTATATGTACTGTGAGGACTACAAACCTGCATGCCTAATACTGGTGGTTACACACGTTTCTGTCTGCTTGGGCTGTCATTCCCATTGATTTTCAGTAGTTCATTTTACTTTGCTTGTTAAGTGTTTGCAAATACAGATGTGATTTGAATTCTGCAAAATTCCAAGGGGGCCATTTGTCACTACCTTTGTCAGTTCAGGAAGGCAAAAACAAAGGTTCAACATCTTAAACCATTTATTTTTTTACAACATATACAAATACAGTTCATTCAAGTCAGCAGAGAGAAAACAGTCCAGGTGGAAAAGTCACTTTTAAAATTGTTCATTTTACAGAGTTTCCAAACATATAAAGACTGGCACATAGTGATGTTGCATTGTCAGAATATTTTGACATGCTTGAAGAGGCAGAGGAAGACAACTGTACACGTCATTCTGAAAGAGCTTATACATCTGTTGGAGCAAAATCTATTTACTGCTATTTATTTTTGTGCTTAATTTGCTAACTCTGCCAAATGTCTATCACTATTTAAGTTACAGAATTTTTATCACAGACAGGAAAAAATTGCCACCATTGGTACATTTAGTGGGCTACCCTAAAAGTAAACTGAGTTTTATAGTGGAATAGTAACAGCCAGTGATTAAAAACCAGATGTTAATTGAAGCAGTTGAAGAGCAGAACAGACAGGTGAGTTTCAGAAGCTGCAGACTTAGCCTGTAAAGCTACTAGCAACGTTTTCTCTTTTTGAAAACAAACTATGAATGTAAGAGAAAGTGTTCTTGAAATATCTGGATGCTTCTGTGTTGTTTAATTCTCAAAAGCCTGTGAGGTCTAGAAGCAGACACCTGCCTAAAAGCAGCTATTCAGACACCTCACCTAGTAATATTTGTGAGCAAGGATAAAAGTGTCACTAGGCTTAAAAAACCAAGAAGTGAGATAGTATTTTTAGTGTTCTGGCCGCTCTTGCTGGGTCAGAGAGCCAGAAGCAGGAAGCCCTTAGGGCGGAGGGGGAAGCAGCTCCTGGGGTCCCGCAATTCCCACAGGCAGAGAGCTCTGCACGCACGGGAGCTGGGACTGCCCAGCTTTTGGCCCTCACAGTCACACACTGCCAGCACCACGTGCTGCACAGGAAAAGGTAAGACTGATAGAAAAGGAGCAGTTTTTAAATAGCACAGAATAAAATACTTTCGTGTTTTGTGTCCAACAGGCAATGGAGCAGGAGAAGCAGCAGATTTCCACCTGAAAAGTGTGCAGTGCAAGGCCTGCTACTGCTCAGAGACTACATGTTTCTGGAAGATGTTGATTATTTACATTCCTTTCTTTCAAACTTTATCCTGGAAGCTGCTTCCTGTAAATAGTTTGTAATGTAAAAATAAATGTATTTTCCTAATTGATGTCCATACTCACCCAGAAGCATGGAAAAGCACAAAGTTATTTTGTCAGTTTTGTCATAGGAATGTGTGGACAGATTCCTGCAGAAACAAAAACTGTGGCTAAACAGAATAAACATTCCTATTAGCATAACAACTTAGCACATGAAAACTCTTTAACTGGGCTTTCACAAAAGTTAACAACTCCCCCTTGCTCTTTAATGCTTCAAGTGGTATTGAATTTCCACTATGAACCAACAAGAGGAAGGGCACTGCAATTCTTTCCCAAATTCACCCCAAAGTGTATCATGTTTCACCAAGAAAAGTTTACCTGGATATTTACCAATACCTAAAGTTTAAATTACTTGATGCATGTACTTTAATGAAAATACTGGAGCAGGTTCATTAGCCTTACACAATTCCAGATGTCTACAGGCTACAAAGTTAGGGTTTCTAAATAAAAAGCCAAATATTTTGCTGTTCTCTTTCACTGTGATAAACAGCAGACAAAGGAGGTTTTGACTGCGATTGATTGATGAAGATACTCACGTTAAGAAGCTATTCCCACTGCTAAATTGTGTTAGCAGAAATAGTACAAAACTGCTGATTTTAAATGCCCACAAGACTTCAGGCTAGTGTTAGGTCTGTGGTGCACAATATGACGACTACTGATGTCCCCTTTGCTTCCCCATGATTTTATTTTTTTTTTGTTTTTATATCTATGTGACAGAAAAGCACTAGTGGATGACAACAAGGGTATAAGAACTTTCTATGTTGAATCCAGCTAATTAGCAAGGGTGTCTGCCAGCCTAACGTGATACTACAGGCGATATTAAGAATTTTCAGAGCTGCTGAAGATAAAAAACCCCCAAAACCCAAAAAACCACATCAACAAAAAGCAAAAGCCAAACAGGTATGGGCAAACTACAGGACATTAAGCATTGCTTTTAAAATGCCACAAAAACACCAGAAAGAAAAAATTTCTCAGTGACATCAAACTGTTACAGTGTTAAAATAACAGAATGAAGGTAACATTTAAAAAAATTTACATTAGTTGAACTGTGCAGCAGGTTGATGTTTTTCCCAGTAATTCCAAAGTATTCCACAGCAAACTACGCATACAGAACTATGTGTAAGTTGTCACTAAGATTTTGCTCAGGCTCAGTCCTTTCCTTGGCAGGGTGTGGAGGGAGCACGTCCCTCACAGGGGCTGCTACTGTTGGACCTGGTAAGGAGTGACAGGCTGAGCTGGCTGGGGGTCATGTTGCTGATTTGTAAAATGCTGATTTGGTACATAAATTCAAAACTTAACTTTTGTGAAAGATGAGCAATGGGAAGGGCATGGCCTCTGTGAGGACATGCCACTGAGAAATTTGACTTTTTTGTGTGCCTGTGGTTATTTTTCTGAAAGCTGGAAGTGACCTCAAGAGGGCACTTTTTTGCTTTGGTAAGTGGCTACTTTATAGGCATTTTCTGTAGTGTATAGTGAAAGACTTCACAGTTTCTGGTGACAGAATGCAGGTTCTGTCTGCTTGTTTATATGCCAGTCAATAACTTTATTTTATTTCATTTTCTTATTCATGATGGTGGGGGGGTGCATTAGCTGTCATGAGACCACTGCCTGTAACTTCTTTCCTCTAGTGAAGTAACTTTATTTTATTTAAATTCATGATGGTGGGGGGGGTGCATTAGCTGTCATGAGACCACTGCCTGTAACTTCTTTCCTCTAGTGAAACAAAAACACGTGCAGAGCAGTTTGTTCCCCACAGACACATTTCTTGTGGGAGATCAAAGGGATGGCTGATGGCAGCAGCTGTTTAATTTGTGCCCCTGTAATGGATTATTTTAAACAACTAAAAACATCAATAACTCCCATGGAGGAAAAAAAAAGAGACTACCATAACTAACTTAGATAACAAAAGATGAATTCAGCACACGTAAAACTTCACAACAGTGTTTCTATGTAAACAGAATTGTCAAGAGTTAGAGTGTAAAGTTCTTTATACTCTCTGGGTTTAACAGACAAGTAAAAAGACAGTTCCTGACTACATGGAAAAATGTGGTTTGAATTCAAAATTTTGAAATGTTAATTACACTTATTAATGCATTGTTTTGAATTTGGTCAGTACTGGGTATTAAACATCTTGTGCTGAAAAGAAAGAACCAGAAAAGTTCTAATATTTTTTTTCTCTAAATCCAGAGAAAGATAAAAAAAATCTGCATTTTCTAAAAAGTAGTATATGATAAATATACTATACAATGGCATGTACCTTGAAACATGATAATAAATATTCTTTCTTTAAACACAAGCCTGGAAAACTAAAATTTATAAGAAGAAAATGTTGTTCCTTGCCAAGGTCTCACTACCAGTAAGGAGTACTCAGCTATTGTACATTATTTTGTTAATGTAGATGAACCATAAATAATTTTGAGTGTTTCGTGTATATTCACCGAAGTTAAACAGATATGCAAAGGAAGTTACAGTATATTTAAATCTCTTTACAATCACTTAACACAGTGTTTAACAGTAATCGTCGGTAAAAGTGCGTTATTTTAATATAATACACATAAAAAACCACTCTGCTTCTCTGCCTTCTGATTCCTTAGAGGCAACAAGCTAAAATTATCTTTTGTTTAAAAAGGGGAGGGTGATGACACGTGTTTGTTTACAACATACAGTCCAAGAAAACTTCTCCATCCGCCTATGGAGACTCTGCAGATGTGAAGAAACAGGAAGAGAGGAATCTTCCAAGAGCTGACAGGCATCTTTCCCATCTACAGTATCCCATTTAGGATTCCCAGAGTCTGGATGTTAATCCAGCAGCATTGCCTGGATTAAGCATCTGTAGCACAGGGCACACAATTCCGACCAGTTCAGTCCACAGCAGGATCCTTCAAAGGCACTGCAGAAGGATTCAGTCATGTAAATTCCACATTGGGCTTTCAGAAAAAAAGAGGAGAAAAACCCCAAGAAAACACAACAAAGCCCCAGCAAAACAAAAACCCAACCAAATGCAGAAAGGGGAAAGTGACTCTGATTTTCCCAAAATTTACTTTGCTTTCCTTGAATTCAGATTGTTCTAATACATTAGGGGGTTTATAGCAGCCTGGAAATAAGCTATAAAATTAATCCCTTCCTATTTGAAATACCTTGCAAATGAAAACAAGATGAACAACAAATGAAATCACAGAAGTGATTGAATTCTGTTAATTTAGTGACTTAGCAGCAGCATTACAGTGCATGTCAAATACTGCTTTAATAATTAGATGTATGCAGGAAAAAACTAATCTTAAATTGGCCATCTGTGAGGTGGGATACTCGACACTGAAAAAGATTTCTTTTTTATTTGCAGTGAGCTGCAACTTCCCAGCTGCTGTCACAGTGCTGCAGTAGCACTGTGCAAGTGTCTGGTTAGTGTACAGCGCTGGGCAAGTGGCACTCACTATCTCCATGTAAATGGGACAGTCTTTGCTGTGTATTTCAGTTGTTTGAAGTCAAGCAAGATGGAAGAAACTGAAGAGATACAGAAAGGGTAGTGTAAATGTTTAAACATTTCTGCCAAAATTTCCAGAGACAGAAATTAACACTATAAACTTGTGCTAGCTAAAAAAGAGATCACCAATCCTTATGATTTTATTATCTGGACATAATAAAAAACAATAAAAGCTCTACTGCTCACTTCCATTTGCTGTGGCCCAGAGCAAAAGAGCAACAGAACATTGCTATTTAAGCACAATTGTTGATAAAAATGAGTACTGCAAAATCAACTGGGATGCAACATTTTGGGTTAAATGGACAGAGAAAGTGGGTGAAACTGCACCATTCTGGGTCACTCGGAGACCTTCCTGATGTCATCGTGCCTCACACACCAGCGTATGAGGCTTTTATGGATCATTCTGGCAGTCCTTGTACCTCCCTTGCTTTGCTCAGCTACAGCTTGGAAGCAGGAATCCTCTGAGGATGCTGCACTGAAAGCCTGCCCAGGCCTGGGCTCGGTGCCTCATACCTGAGCAGCCCCTGCCGCGGCAGCGGCTGGGCTATTCCATGATGTCACTGAAGGCCAAGGCGCAGGCGGCTCTGTCCTCCCTGGCCTGGGGACCGTCCGGCAGCGCGGGCGACACCAAGCCCCGGTACTGCTTACTTGACTTGGTCAGCTTCTTCAGTTCACTGGTGAAGGAGATGCCTTTCCTCTTGTCATCTCGTGCTGCCTGGAAAAATTAAAAAAGATCACAGAGGTGGTTTAACAGCTGCTTGTTCGCTGGGAAATAAGGAATGAGTATGAAAACACCTGACATGCTGCTGAGCAGGCCTCCCTTTAGGAATTCAGTACGGCTGTGCTTTCATCCAGGCGCTTCCTTCTGATTGTTCTGAATAAATTAATTTAAAATTATGCATTGTTAGCAAATGTGGTAATCTGTGCTTATAACAGAGTTACTTTACAGCAACAGCAGCTGTGGGTTGGTGGTGTTTGCTGGGAAGGAGAACGCAGCTCCTTCTCCCAGCAGGCATGTACTTCATTCTTGCCATTTTTTAAAGCCTGAGATAAAGCAACAGAACGACTTTTTCACTGGCCAGGAATAAAGGGGACTTTATTCCAGTGGCTTTTAAGTTCTGCCCATTTGAATGGTCCTTTATTATGACAGGGAACATGGCATGCACAGCCAGAAGGTTTTGAGAAACAGAAAGCTGGTAGCAGATGAAGGCTGCTCTGGATTTGCAGGCTGTGAGGGAATCGTATTGCTGAATGTAACTGATGCAGTTTTGCAAACGAGTATGTAAGGGAGGTTCAGAGAAAAGAGGAAAATTGCTTTTTTCTGTAGTCTGTCTTCTCCACCTGCCTTCATGCCAGCTGTGTCTGCCTTGCATGGAAAGCAGGTTCCCATTAAGCTGATCACACACCATCTGTAACATCTGCTGCAAAGTATTGCATCTTTTACCTGAACCTGTTCCTTGAGCTTAAGGATAAATTTTCCTGCTCCCTTCCACTTGCTTTGGGCCTGAAACACACACTCTTGATCAGAGAGAATCCTCTGAGATGGTTTAGATGTTGAAGACTTTTTGTTTGCTGGCTCTTTAGTCACCTCTTCCAAGAGCACATAATCACTTGGGTTTGGATTGCTCAAAATGCTGTAGGAGTATTTGGCTTTGCAGAGAGTCTGTTTAAAAACACAAAAACAAAACAAAAAAGGCATTCCCTCAGATTCAGGTTACCAAACCAATTCCTCAGTTAGTGCTGAGAACAAATCCCACTGTAGCTTGTTTGAAACCAGCTTCCAGCCCACATGCTGAGGTGGGCACACGCCCTTACCTGCTGTATGACATCCTGAGCCGTGCTGAGGCGTGGAGCTTTGATCACGGTGCGTGGTTGCTCTGGGGAGACATCATGCACCTGAACAAAGAAGCTGTCATCCTCAGAGCTGATGGCTGCTTCTTCCTTTGCTTCTTGAAAGACATTTCTCTCATTTAAATTCTACAGAGAAAATGATAGACAAATTCATTTACTTAAGAGAGGTAACTAATAGCTGGTGGTCACACAAGGGTTTTATTACATGGAAATTGGAGACTGCGGTTGCCTCAGCTCCATTTTGTTAAATGCATTATAAGAAAGGTTTGACAACCCACTATTGCTAGTATCACTATTGCTAGTAATAACAATAATAATGCTAGTAAATACCTGTGTTTTCTAAAATCGATACCTGAAATGCCTTTCATAGTAGGTGAAGAATGGAGGTGTTAGCACAGCATCACATTTCACAAAAATGGTCCCTGAAATCATTCCCTTATGTATATAAAATGATGTTTTGTCATGTAATGGTGCCAGTACAATGGGAGATGGTAGAAAGGGTTCTTTTCCTTCCCGTCCCTGCACTAAAGCCAAAAGAATTTAGAGAGCCAGAATCTGAGTGAACATTTTCCTGTGGTGTGGAGCAAGAGGAAGGCTGCGTGTTTCTCTCTCTCTTTTCAATGACTACTGCAGATTTTAGACTATTCCTCCTTGAACCTTCTCTCAGAGAATGCATTTCTGTCCAGAGCACTGGAACATCTGGAACACAGCTTGGATTCATAAGCTGTAAATATGGGCTGTGTATTGCACCCTGTCACTGGACATGCTCCTTGTTTTTCCATTCTGATTTGCAGCTTCATTCCAAGCTCTGAGGTGCTGCCTGCCTGCAGAAAGGCTCAAAATTATGAATCATGCTTTGAGGTACTCACATAACAGGAAAGAACAACAGCATAATTTTCATACATGCTAAGGCAGATTTTTACCCATTTTCTGAAGGAATGGGGCTTGGCAGGACACATGTGGCAGCATACACTGACAGAGGCAGGTGCTGCAGTCAGTGGAATTCAGTAGGCTACTATTTCCACAAACAAATTTCTACCTTTCCATTTTTGTTCCAAAGATTAGATATAAAGGAAACCAAAATGTGGACTTGTGTAAAATAATAGCAATTTGTCAAATTGAAGCTTTATCAAAAGTTCTGTCAAAATAACCAAAAATACATTTTTTTTCAGTTTGAAGTATATCAGAGCACCTCTGTCACATACATGTACACACACACATATATATATACATATATATATATATGCAAAATCTGTGTACTAAGCAAGCATTTTTATTTGCCTAACTGACCAAAGAAAGT